CTGCCTCAAAGTCTGGAATCACAAGACCCTGAAGTGCTGTCTCATTTGCACATTAAAGATTGATGAGAACCTGCATGCCCTGCAATGGGGCATAATGGAACTTGCTAACTGTAATTATATCCAGAAATGCAAACCCCTGAATAATGCGACAATAACTATGGGGAAAGAGGGACAAGAATGGAAAGGGGACAAGGACTGTAGTGGAAGGTGGAAACTCAAGACTTTGACCAGAAAGCTGCAAAGAGACTTAAGAGAAATGGAAAGTTGCCAGTGGTTTTTGTATTTGCATAGATCGATTTTTGCACTGCAGCACCTTCTACACGGAATCCTCCCCAGACAACAGGTTTTTGTTTCCTTGAAAATTCCATTTGTGTTGAACATTTTTTCATATATTTGTTTGCTGCTTTTACTTCCTTGTCTGAGAAATGTCTGTTCATTTCAGATGCCCATTTCTGAACTGGGTCTTTGAATTTGGGGGGGTCTGATTTTTTCCAATTCTTTATATATTCTAGATAGTAGTCCTTTGTCTGAGGTACAGCTGCTAAAAAGTTTTTCCCACATTGTAGGTTGTCTGTTAGCTCTGTTGGTGGTTTCTTTTGCAGTGCAGAAGCTTTTTAATATGATGAGATCCCAGTTGTTGATTCTTTCTGCTAATTCCCGTGCTGCTGAGGTTTTGTTCATGAAGTCTTTTCCTATGCCAATGTCTTCAAGAGTTCTACCTAACTTATCGTCCAGCAAGTTTAGTGTTTCTGTCTTAATATTTATATCTTTAACCCATATCGATCACTCGTCATTTGAGAGATGCAGATGAAAACAACACTGAGATTCCACCTCACCCCACAACAAATAGCTGCTATCAAGAAATCAACCAATAACAAATGCTGGCGGGGGTGTGGGGAGAAAGGAACCCTTCTCCATTGCTGGTGGGAGTGCAGACTGGTGCAACCACTGTGGAAGTCAGTATGGAGATACCTCAAAGAACTAGGGCTGGAGGTCCCATTTGACCCAGCTATTCGCCTTCTGGGTATCTTCCCAAAAGAATTAAAAGAATCATACCACAGTGATATATGTGCATCCATGTTCATAGCAGCACAGTTTGTAACAGCTAAAGCTTAGAAGCAGCCCAAGTGCCCATCAACTGGAAACTGGATAAAGAAAATGTGGTTTTTTATAAAATGGAGTACTACTCAGCCATAAAGAATGAAAAACTAGAGGCATTTATAGCTAAATGGATGCATATTGAGGCCATACTCTTAAGTGAAATAAATAGGACACACGTGTGTAAATACCGAATAGTTTCACTAGTGTGAGAAACTGAAAGTGTAAACAAGGGTTAAAATGATTAAAATCAATAATTGATAATTTGAAATAGGAAAAAAGGTGCAAAGATGAAGGAGTGAAGGGAGGGGAAGGGGAAAGGAAAAGAGGGAAAGGGAAAACCATGAGAAAAGAAAAAAAAATGGAAATGAAATCTATGTAAATAGGGAAGGGCAGAGAGGGTGAAGGGTGCACAGGGAATGGGGGGGGAAGAACCAAGATGCATCATGTACAGGGACAAACACCCAGTGATAAATGTAAACGAATTGTATACCTAACATGTACCAATAAAAGAATTTAAGCAGGGTATCCCTAACCCTCAGGACTGCCCATCTTGCAGGTGTTAATGATTCCTATTTTGCAGAAGTGCAGATACGTTAGGATCCTACTCACAGTCACTTAGCCACTCAGTGGCAGAGTGAGGATTTTGTTTATAGTTTCTGGTCTGTGTTTCCTGAGTTTCAAAAATGAAGTTTGATTTCACAGTGTGGAGAAAGAGAAATAAAGGCCAAGTAGAAACCATACCAGAAACAATGCCAGGAGCTATCATTACAACCTCATTTAACACCCTGCACTGCGGAGGGGTGCAGAATTGAAACAAGTGGGGTTTGTCTCCCCTTCTCATTTGAGCCAGGTGAGTCCTTCTTGTCTTCCTTCCCTTTCACTTTTCCTGCTGAAATATCTGCCTCATTTTCACCTGGTGTCTGTGTAGAAAAGTAGCTCAGTTAGCTTCTGAGCGAAGCAGCAGCAGTGAGGGGACAGGCCTGAGACAGAGTTGGGTGATCAATCATGTTGCTGGGGATCGAAATGACCATAGAGAGCGACCTGGACTTTGGACCAAGAATGATTCTCAGGCAGCATGGGATGCAGCCCCTTCCCTATTAAAGGGAGCTGCAGCTACTCCCTGATAACCTCCTGAGTCATGAGGGACTTAAAATGCACAATAATCAGATTTTTGCTAAAATACCAGTTTCCTTTAAATCCTACATGTGAGAGAACTGGGTTGAAGAACCCAAGGTCCAATTGGTCATTTTACCCACCGCACTACCTGTGATAGGCGACTACACAACCGAGCAATGCCTGTGCTCTGCTGATCTACGTGACTCTAGAACAAGAGACCACATAGGCACCCACTTGGAAATGGAAGAGATAATTCTTTTTATTATTTCCAATAAAACTCTCCCAACCTCCGCCTTTGGTTTGTGATTTCATTGCTCGACCTTTGAGGAAACATGAGCTCGGTACACGCAGTGATGAAAGGCCAGTGACAAAAATCTCACAGCATACCACAAACAAGCTGCCGTTTCCCACCCACGATGGGCACTGATCCAGAGATCCTCACAGGCTGACGATCAGCACAGGACAGCCACTGGCTGAGAGCAGTGCAAAGCCATCACAAACTAGCTACACCCTTGGGAAACATCACCACCCTGCAGCCAGAGCGTCATATCTGAGCTTTATTGTAACATGTTCCATCATTTTCAGAATATCACTGCAACTAGAAACTCATGTGCAAGGGTGATTTTTATAACCAGATAGTAAATAAAATATAATAGAGAATGGAATTATAACAATAGATATACCTTAAATATATACATGTTGATATCCCACATGTACAAAAGTCATGCTCTGCAAATACTTAGTCTACATACAGCCTTGTGGGCTACTGAATTCCAGAATGTGTCCAGGATTTACATGAGGCCCATGAGTTATGGGGATTTCCAGAGAGCTCGTGTAGGAGTAACACACTACAAATTTGGGAGGAAAAAGTATCACAGAGCAGTTTTTAAAAATATTTAATACATTTTTTGTTCTACAAAGAATGAACATTTAAATATTACAAACAGTGAAACAAATATACTACCTTATAGATATGTATAATTTACTACTTTATACTTCAAAAATGCAGGAAGATAAATTATATAATATATATAATTTTAGATATAATGAACAATTCAATATTGCTCTTATGTTGGTCTTGCTGCATTGTATGCATGCCCATGGCTTGTCACTGGGTGGAGAGGAGACCAGTAGGGACAGAAGGGAACTTATGGAGCTCCATCCTTAATCCCACAGTGCCATCTTCAAAGCAGTATTAAGAGTTTTTAACTTACTGGGGTTGGGTCAAAAACTTCCGTGCCCATGTACAATGTGGGATGTGTCTTCAAGAACTAAAACTCCAGGGCCAGGGATTTAGCTCAGTGGTTCCATCTGCCTCAAAAGCGGAAGAACCAGGGTTCGATCCCTGGTACCAAAAAAAAAAAAAAGAAAAAGAAAAAAAAGAAAATATTCCATATTTGGGGTGGGACCAAACAAATGTTGAAAGTCATCTGACCTAGTAGTACATACTAACTCTTCAAGCTCTGAGTCAGTTGGGCTAAAAGATGATGTTGAGATAACCATTGATATTCTTTATCTAGTTCATAGGAAATGATCTCAGAATGAAGCCCCAGAGTGGAGGCTTTCTTAGCCTCTAAACTCATGAATGAAACATGAAGGGATGAACTTTATCCTGAATGAGGTCTGATTCTCATTCATTCTTGTATTGATAAATCCCTAAATAGTTAAAAATGTAGAAAATGACTTCGAAGGACTAAAAGAAACCTTGGGTCATGATCAGTGGAAATAGGCCATTCAGTAGGAGGCACTCACAATAAAACCCTTACTAACCTGATAGTTGGAGGTGAAGATCATAGTTCACTATTAAGAGAGAACCCACCCCAATCTATACGCTCTGCGCTGGTCATCAGGGTGTGGCCTCGTCCACTTTGCTCATACCCAAAAGGCAAACTGATAATCTCTTAGGAATCAGAAACAACACAGTGACAAATAGGAAAAGATGTTGCAGAAAAGCCAATTGCTAGGTCTCACTGGAAATAGGAGCCCAAATGAGGGATTTAAAGAGAGCCCAGAACTGGCCACACCTGAGCTCCCTGCTGCTCCAAACCCAGGCCCCTCCTTTCTCGCTGTAAATGTACCCTTCCCGTAAAGCTGGAGAAAGGTTGTTCTAGAGAACTAAGATGGTAAGAACATGGGGCCAGCTGATTCTCAAAAACACCTCCTACATGTTAAACACATCACCAGCGGTAAATCCCCATCAACCGGTGACTGGATAAAGAAGATGTGGTTTTTCTATAAAATGGAGTACTACTCAGCCATAAAGAATGAGAAACTAGAGACATTTATAGCTAAATGGATGGACCTTGAGGCCAAACTCTTAAGTGAAATAAATAGGACACACATGTGTAAATACCGAATAGTTTCTCTGGTGTGAGAAACTGAAAGTGTAAATAAGAATCAAAATGTATAATAGATAATGTGAAATAGGAAGAAAAGGTCCAAAGGGGAAGGGGAAGTAGGAGGCCTAGGGGAAAGGAAAGAAGGGAAAAGAATAAATATGAGAAAAGGAAAAAATGGAAACAAAGTCTTTGTAAATAGGGAGGGATGGAAGGGGGTTGAAGGGAGGGCAGGGGAAGGGGAAAAAATAAAAACCGAGATATATCATGTAAAGGTCCAGATTCCCAAAGATGAATGTCATCATACTGTATACCTAAAATGTACCAAGAAACTTACGGTGGGGAAAAAAAGAAAATAAAAAATAATTGCCAAGAATGGAAAAGGGGAAGTAGGGAATTACTGTTTAATGAGTGCAGAGTTTCAACTCTGCAGGATGAAAACTTTCTGGAGATGAATAGTACAATTTTATGAATGCATTTAAGACCACTCAGCTTTGTATTTAACAAGGTTAAGATAGCATTTTTTGCGTTATATGAAACAAATGAAGAAGCAAATAAAGTCATTAAAGTTGAGCATCGGGGAAAAAGAAAAAATCACCTCCCACAAGGTAAACGTATTCAGCAGAGTTAAGATAGTGCTAAGAGGAGGAGACCAGACAAGGGAGGTGAACTAGGAAGGGCCAAAGGGAAGCAGCATCTACTGAGAGCACAGTGTGCCTCAGAGGACCAAGGTGACCCTGTGGCCACAGCAGGAAGCCGTGCGAAGAAGGAACCCTAAAGACAGAAGGGGCAGGAGGTGGTCCATGCAACTTCCCCAACTTGAGAGCTCTCCCCAGGGCTGGCAACGCTGCCCAGCAGACAAGAGGCCCTGTGTGCAGGCCTACGTGTGCTGCAGCTTCCTCTTCCTGCTGGGGGCACCAGGAAGGATGGCCAAGAGGAGGACGCGGCAGGCTGGCTGGCTGTCTTCTGCCAACTGAAGCAAAAGACTCAGGCTCTGCCAGTGGGAATTTTCAAGAAACAGAGCCCAACAAGGCTTCACGATGGCAGAGTGGTTAGAGGGCACGGGATTCGCCCAGGACAGAGCACCAGGCCTGTCTACAGCCATGACTGTCTGCCCTGAGATGCACAGGAACCAGCAGGGGCTATAACTGGGTTTGAAGAATTAAGGTTGTACACATCATCACTGGAAGATACTTGTTTCTAGGGGAAATACTGCATTGAACAGATCTTAGAGGACAAGTATAATAAACATGCAAGAGGCCTGACTCCTAATTAAATGCATTTCCAGGAGTGTATTTCCAATATAGATGGATCATCAAAAACACAGTGAACAAGTTGTGTCAAAGTACTTCATTAAGGTGCAAAATGTGGCACATACATGTTCGTGTCATTTAGAAAATGCGTGTGCTTCTGGTTGTCAGATGGCCTTTGTTGGATGCTACCCAGCTGGATACAGGTCAAGTTATTGAAGAGAAGAAATCTGTCTTAGAGGGAGAAAAAAGTTTAAAAATAGCTACTTTATTTGCTTTTATTTAAAATCTGAGGGCTGGAAGAAGACACAGCCCTCCCAGACCAAAGGAAAGAAACTTCACATTTCTAAAACCCTCAGTACAACACACAAGAACGTTATTGCGATGTTTTAATAATGTCACATTACCTTTACTCAAAAATGAAAGTACTTTCTCACACAAGAGCACACTGTTAGTGAACTCATCATTGCATGGGAAATTAAGTGCTCTACTCAGCTAAGAAGATGTGTGCTAACTAGATCTACAGGAGGTGAATCATCCCCTCGGGGCAGGAAAGGGGAATGGAGGGGGAATGCACATCCTGTGGGGGTCCACTTACGGGAACCACTGTGTCCACTTGGGACCAGCTGGTCCTCTCACCCACCCTCAAAGATGCTACTGGCTTCTGGGCAGGGAGAGCTGCCTGGTGTGGGCCCACAGTTCCGGGCTAACATGCCTCAACACACACACAGGTGACCTGTGTCCCCTCCCCTTACCCTTCTTCCCCTGGGTCTAGTCCTCCCACCTCCTAATGGCCAAAGCCTCCCACAAGCGCAGTGGCTGGCACCTCTTGCATTTGGCCTGGGATCCTGAGCTGTTGGATTTTCTTTTTACTGCCTGGCAAGTGTGTGACTCCAGAGAGGGGTGGCCAATGGTGTAGTGGTGTGGACCGCCCTGGTAGGGACATGAGGGTGCACTCGGGCAGATGCAATGTGTCACACGTGGGCCTCAGACATGCTGCCCGGACAGGGAGGGTGCACTGGGAGGGGCCCGGCTGGGCACACAGCTCCTCCGCAGGCACGGGTGGATGGGGCCTTCACATGACCACACACTTGCCCTTTAGCTTCTCTTTCCTCTTCTGCTGCTTACTCTTCTTGCCGTCGATCTGGAGGCTCACGGTCCTGCGCTTCTCCAGGTTGAGCAGCTCCTGAAACAGCTCCTTCACGTTGTGGTTGAGCTTGGCTGAGGTCTCCATGAAGGCACACTTCCACGCCCGTGCCAGGGCCTCAGCTTCACCGCTCTGTACCTCCCGGCTGGGGCTCTCATCACACTTGTTGCCCACCAGCATGATGGGGATGCTGTCCACATCCCCCTTGATCTCACAGATCTGCTCGTAGATGGGCTTGAGCTCCTCCAGCGACTGCCGGCTGGTGATGGAATAGACCAGGATGAAGGCGTGGCCCTTGGAGATGGACAGCCGCTGCATGGCGGGGAACTGGTGGCTGCCGGTGGTATCAGTGATCTGCAGCGTGCAGATGCTCTTGTCACAGCTGATCACCTGCCGGTACGTGTCCTCCACTGTGGGGATGTAGCTCTCCCGGAACGTGCCCTTCACAAACCTCAGGACCAGAGAGCTCTTGCCCACGCCCCCTGCTCCGAACACAGCCACCCGGTAGTCGTTGCTCTGCTCAGGCATGTTGAGGGCTCCAGTTAACTGCAGGGAGATGCCTGGCAAAGGAAGCAGATGTGGAGAGAATTAATAATAATAAAAAAATTCAAAAACATCACTTAGCCTTCCTTTGATAGCTCTTTTTAAAAACAGAGTGATTAAGTTTGCTTTCACTCTTCCAGCATAAGAGCAATTCAGATTTCAACTACAAATTTCTCTAATTCTAAAGCCAGTAAGTTTGGTCAATCCTCAGTTTTGCATGAAGCAACCAATGTACTCAAGGGCTAACTGGAGTCAGTCTGTTTGTCCTTATTGACTCTGAGCCTGAGCATGTTGGCTCACACACAGATCCTTCGCCTAGAGAAAAGATGCAGAGTCAGACCAAGAGAGACCGAACCCAGGACAGGAAATCTCCACATCCCAGTCAGGCACCCTCTCTCTCTCCTCCCTTCTCTTCGCTCTCTTCTCCTCCTCTCTCCTTTCTTCTCTCTCTCTCTCTCCCTCTCTCTGCCCCTCTCTTTCCCTCTCTCTTTCGCCTCTCTCTCACAAATAATCTCAGAATGCCTTCAGTGCTTCACCTGAAGTGCTGCATATGCTAGTGAGAAGCGTGTATGACTTTTTTCTTCTCAAATACTAGGAGGGGGAACAAGGAAGAAGCGCTTCATATTTGAATGTTTATATTAACACATGAAACCCTCACCACTGCTTATCTCTGTTATACAGTGATGAAATTGGAAAAAGAAGGGATAGGGAATATAATATTCCTGCTATCACACAGCCAGTAAGGGACAAGGCTAGGATTCAAATCAAAAATAGTGTGGACACGGTGGCCACCCTTTAGCTCGACTGCAGAAAGGACTGGTCACAGGGCCACACGCATTACTCATGCCAGAGTACAGATGGACTTGGATAGTTGTTTTATACATTAAATGATTAAATGATTGTCTGTGCTTTATTTTTAAGAATTATAAGGATCTGAGACTACCAGTATAGCTCTATAAAGTACTCATTAGTGGCCATTAACACTGAATAAAATGGGGTTTGTTTTATTGCAAACATCACTTTTTGTCTAAGATTTGTAAATATGTTTTATTCATTTGTAAACTATCAAATATCTTTCATCTTACCCCTTTTTTTTTGTTAAGGAAGAGCACATCATATTCAAAAGCAGAGAATTAGGGAACATTCATCTTCTTTAGACAAGTAATATGTTAATGTGAAACATGGAATTTATTCTCTTCTGCAGGCAAACATTGTCCTAACTTTTCAATTTCCTACTCTTAAAAGAACTGTGCTATGATAATCAGCACTGGTGAGCACAATTATTTTCAGAGTCCAGTAAAAATTATCAAACATAATTAATAACATGAGGAAGCGGGTTTGCACAATGAATACACCTCCTGGAAGAGGGAAAACCAGCTTAAGTCCAAGACTGCAAATCACCCATGTGTCCATCTTCTGATTTTGTTATGCACATTTTCCTACACGTCAGCTGAACGGAACACTCAGTTGTTCTAGCGTGCACTTTGGAACCCTAAACCTACCAAGAAACTGCAAAAGCAGGGGCCAGGGATTTAGACCAGTGGCACCGCACCTGCCTTGCAAATCCAAGGTCCTGAGTTTGATACCTAGTACAAAAAAAAAAAGAAAGAAACTGAAGAAGCATGAATGGTAAGAGAAAAACTAAAAAGATAAAAGATATCAGGAAGTTCATTAACAAGAAAAGACTACAGTAGGAGAGCCTGTTTAGGAGTTTGATTAAGTCTATTAAATGCTCTCAGATAATAAAGATCAATCTAGGAGTGCAACATTGTGACAAATTGTCTCACAATTTAGATTTTTTTTAAAAAAAATCACAGACAAATGGAATCTGATCTAAAATTTCTCTCTGTATCCTCAAACTCTGTCTTTGCTAGGAAGGCAGTTTCCTCATTGTCTTGCCTACTATTACAATTATTTAGCTCCAGACTCTAGTGTAAGAATCTGGCTGGAAGAGAACACATCTTAACAAACTGCATACTACTGTCACCAAAAGAGCTCTTGGTCCATAGCATATGTTCTTTATGAGTTTGTTCAATATGTGGTCATATGTGTTCAGATGCTGCCACAATCAAGCTGGCAACCAAAACACAGAAAGCAAATACCAAACATAAAAACATTCATGGCTCCTGTTTCTCGTTTGTCCAAAGACATAAATATCTAGTGAGCTTTGGCTAAAGGCCAGGCTCTGGGCAAGGGGCCAGGAAACCACTGTGCAGAGACCTAAGACCAGATCTCTCCTCTGGAACCTAGACTCAAGTGGAACGGACAGAAATAAAAAAGATTACTTCAGAAATATTTAATGAATTATATCAGAAGCTGAAAGACAGAGGTCTGAAGGAACCTAATCTAACCTAAAATGTCAGGAAGGATTTCCCTAAGGAGCAGGGAACTGAAAAAAAAAATAGGAGTCAGGCAGGGGTGGATGTGTGAGGTTCAATGTGCATTTATGAGCTAAGGACGGGGCAGTAACTCCGTACTGGTCCTCAGACCAGTTCTTACCAAACTGTAAAGAATATTCTTCTCTCTGAGAAGCATTCATTTATTTCACCAGCATTTATGAAATACTTTCTATATACCACTTACCCACTGGAAGATCCTAGCAGTAGAAGGCAGAAAGGCACAGGATGGATACATTACATCCTGCATGGTAGACGCTATGATAAAGCTATAAACAAAGGCAGGAAAAGAACCCAGTGGGCACCTGATTCTGCTTGGAACCCAGGAAACATCTCACTGAGGGCTGGGATCTGCCACATGGAAAGGGACAAAAGGCCTGTGGGCCAGAAGAAATCACCTAGTAGAAAGGAAAACAGGCAGGAAATAAGAGTTGGTATTCACGGCACAGCAGGAAGCTGTGGTAACTGGCCTCCGGGGTTCAGTCTGAGAGAGCAGGGGAGTAGTGGTACCATCAAGATAAGCGGCAGAGGAAAGAAGGAGGTTTGGAGGAAAGGAGCTGCAATGGGGTCAGGTTTGTAAAATAAGGAGAGCAAGAAATCTGGTAGATGATTGGGTTTTTGTTAGAAACTCGGCCGAGAGATTTAGGTTAATGATAAATATTTGCCTATCAACCTTCCACAAACAGCTCTATAATATACAATCATCCCCCAGGGGTAGAGTATGGGGAATAAAGGAGAAGACTAAACGCCTGATTTGTGCTGCTAAGATTTGTACTAAAAGAATGTGGCAAGTTACTCAGGCTCTAGTTCTAAAATGGAGATAATAACCCAGCCTTCTTCTGCCATGGAGGGCACCTGAGACAATACCATTGTACACCCCACACAATTCCCACGACCGAGTTTCCTGGCTACCTTCACTCAGAGCCAAGCAAAGAAGAGGTCATAACGGAACAGCAAGCTGAGGGGTGTGGCCAAGTGGTAAGAAAGCAACAAAAAAACTCTAGGAGCAGGAAATGTCGAAAAGACTGAGAGGGGAGGGGTGTGAAGTAGTATTTAAAGGAAAATTACAATTATAAGGTAACTATAATTGCTCATTTAAAAAGAATAAAGTTCTCAAGTTAATAACCTAATCTTCTACCTTAAAATAAGGGAGAAAAGAGCAAACTCAACCCAACAAAAATCCAGGAAAATTTAGAGTACAGTGTAAAATAATAAAATAAAAAACAGAGAAATAGAGAAAGAAAAACCAATAAAACTAGAAGTTGGTTCTTTGAAAATGTAAACAAAAGCGATAAAATTTTAGCTAGATTGATTTTAAAAAGTGAGAAGACTCAAATTAGTAAAAGCAGAAATAAAATAAGAGAAATTACTACTGATCTTACAGAAATGAAAGGATGACAAAGGATATAAGGGACTCTTATGAACCCTATATGCCACATGACAATTTAGATAATATACATGAAACAGATACAAATTACCAAAGCTGACACAAGGAGAGATAAAAAATATGAATAGAATTATAACAGGTAAGTAGATTAAATTAGCAATCAAGGAAATAAACTACTCACAAAGAAAATTCCAGGTCTAGGTGGCTTCACTGGTGAATTCCAGCCAATTTTTAAAGAAAAAAGATACTAGTTATTCAGAAACATGCCAAAAAAATTGAAGAGAAAAGAATATTTATCATTCTATAGATCTGGTTTTATTCTGATACTAAAGCCAAGCAAAGGTATCACAATAAAGCTATAGACCAATATCTCTTAAGAATATAGATGCAAAAACCCTCAACAAAATACTAAAAAAGCTGAACCTATGAATATATAAAAAGGATTATACAACATAACCAAGTGGGATTTATACCAGAAATGCAAAGTTGCTTTCACATTTAAAAATTAAATAATGTGATATACTACATCAATAAAATAAAAACAAACAATAAAATCCCAGCATTTGGAAAGAAATGAACAAAGTTATAAAAATTCAATGTCCAATTGTGATACACATACACCCAAGAATAAAAGGAAACTTCTTCAGTGTATTTGTCACCTTCTCATCATTGGGACAAAATACCTGACACCCATCAGTTACAGGAAGAGAAGTTAATTTGATTCACAGCTTCTGAGGGTTCAGTCCATGGTTGGCTGGCTCCAAGGCAGAAATGATATGGCAGAAGGGCATTTCTAAGAAAAGCTGCTTGACTAAAGCAGCCAAGGAGCAGAGAGAGCAGGGAAGAGCCAGAGCAAAGATATATCCTCCAGGGACATAGCCCATGGAACCACCTCTTCCAACAGCACATTCAGCTAGGCATGAATTAATCCATCAGTGAGTATGGCACCCTCAGCTAATTACCCAAGCCCCATCTTTGAACACATGAGACTTTGAGGCAACGTTTTTTTTCCCTTAAATTCTTTTATTGGTACATTTTAGGTATACAGTACATTTACATTTATCATTGGGTGCTTGGACCTGTACGTGATGTATCTTAGTTCTTAAGTTCCTAATTTTTTCCCCACTCCCTGTCCTCCCTTCACCCCCCCCTCCACCTTTCCCCATTTACAAAGACTTTGTTTCCATTTTTTCCTTTTCTTATAATTTTAAATTGAGCCCACAACATCAAGCAC